CTCATCTCTCTCATCTTTCATCTCTCTTTCTCTTATCTCTCATCTCTCTCTCTCTCTCTCTGTCTCTGTCTGTCTCTCTCTCTCTCATTTCTCTCTATCTTATCTGATGGCTTTTTGCTTGCTGCTAATTTCCTGGCTGCAGATCCCCATTGCTGTCAGCGGCATCCGAGGAATGGGCTTCCTTATGAAGCATCACATCGAAGCCAACGGCGGGAACCTTCCCCCGAAGCTCTCCAACCTCTTCATCAAGGTAAGGCCGCAGCTCTCGGCCAGCAACCCGAAAGGGATGGCTTGAACGGGACAAACTGCACTTCAGACCTTTTCGCACAGATTGTCCTGCGACGGGAGGGCTGGAATAATCCACGGCAGGGGTCCCCAACCTGCTGCCGGGCCGTGGCCTATTCACAACCAATAAGTCCTCACCTTACAACTGAGCCCAAAATTTCTGTTTGCTGAGCAAGACAGTGGCTTAGTGAGTTTTGCCCCATTTTTACGACCTTTCTTGCCGCCCCGTTGCTCAGTGAATCATTGCACTTGTTAAGTTAGTCACACGGTTGTTAAGTGAATCCGGTTTCCCCATTGGCCGTTGCTCGTCAGAAGGTCGCCGAAGGGAATCACGTGACCCTGGGACACCGCAAACGTAAATACAAGTCAGTCGCCAAACATCTGAATTTTGATCACGTGACCAGGGGAATCTTGGAAAAGGTTGTAAGTCTGAAGCAGAACGGTCCCTTTTTTCAGCACCGTTGGGACTTCGAGCGGTCCCTAAATGACCAGTTGTAAATCAGGGTGTCAGAATTCCAAGTAATAAATCCATGGCAAGCAAGACTCCGAGGCAGGTAGATTCCTCAATGAATGCTTTTATTTGGAGTTATCATATTGGCAGAAATCTGGTGAAAACCGACTCTGAAAACTCGTTAAAAGCAAAAGATTTTCTACTTTCTCGAAACAACCAGTGATGTGGTCCAGTCACGGTGCGGTCTGGCAACCCGGGTAGCCTCACTGCGCCTTCCTCCAACCAGGTGCGAGAATGTCCTTGGTTTTCAAGAGAAAATATTTTTGTTCGGACCCAGGCTTCCTGAGACCATAATTAAGCCCACACTTAGTTAAAACAACTCTTGTTTTATTTCAAGGCTGGGAATTATGTTCATTCCCAGCCTGTAATGAGTCCCAAACAGTCCCTCGAGATAAGCACCCACCTTTCTCTCCTTTGAATGGCTGCCAGCAACTAAAGTGCCAAATGAACTGTAAAAAAACAACCGAAGTACAAAGTCCACACACAGCTTCAAGGATTAATTCGAACAGAGCAAATGACTTTGCTTCCTGCAAAGGTTTCTCTACCTTTGCCTGTCCTTTATCCCTTAGGGGAGGGGCAATCACCTCCCAGCCTTACTCCTGAGTTGCCCTTTTTGTTTCAGTTGCTCTTGCCTTCTAGCAGCTCTGTGCACACGCGCATTGGGAACAGGCTCCCTTTGCTCCTCTTCCTTGCTGCTGCCAGACTCCGGAGGCTCCAGAGGCAGCACCCCACTCCCAGATGGCCCTGGCCCCATCTCTGCATTGGACGCAGGACCCTCGTCCGAATCCTCCCAGACTGATCCCCGTTCTTCCCCACTGTCCAGATTCCACTGTTGTCTGCACAGGCTGCTGGCGAACCACAATAATTTCATTTTGGCTACAAGATCCCCTGTATCTCTAATCCCCCCCCCCCCAATCCCTCAGCTCCGGTGTGGTAACCCTGAAGCGGTCAAAAATGGCTTCGGCCAGGCCAGCTTCATGGTTGACACAAGGGCTTACCTGTAATATCTTCTCGGAGGTGGGTGGGGAGTCCAACTTATTTCACAAAAACTAGCCAGCCCTTGAAACATCTGGATCCATAACCAGCCCCGGGCCAAGCTGAAGCTTCCTGATTTTTTTACTCTCCCCTTTGTTTGTCTCAAGTGTCTTCAGAATCCATCCAGCGACATCAAATTGATTGCGGAGAAGATGATTTGGTGGGCCAACAAAGCCCCCCTCCCGCCCTTGGACCCTCCCGTGGCCAAGCCCATCCTCAAGGCCCTGCTGGACAACACGAAAGATAAGAACACCAGCGTGAGGGCTTACAGCGACCAGGCCATTGTCAACCTCCTGAAGATGCGGGACGGCGAGGAGGCGGTTCAGGTATTGGCTTCGCTCTAGGCGAGCGGAGGGGGATGAGAGCCCAACTTTGGGCGTAAAGGCGGCTGAAAGCGACGGGAAGGACGAGCCTGTGACTTTTGTGATGGGTGCGACTTCGCAAAGCGTAGGGCGGGCTGCAGGATGAGAGAGACCACTTCATGGGCTCAAGATGGCAATGGTCTCCCTTCTCTTAGGCCATGCAGAGACATTTTTTAAAGGCTAGGCTTGCCAGTGGTTTGATCATTTCTATTTTCATTTAATAAAACGCTAATAAAGTGTGCAATATGATCATAAAATTAAGAATTTAATAAAGAGAGATGGTTAGAAATAAGGAGACTGGGAGTTCTAGTCCCACCCTAGGCATGAAAGCCAGCTGGGAGACTTTGGG